CGCCATGATGGATCTTGTGGCCAATAAAAAGAAGTCCACATTTTGGAAAGAATACTAGTGTTGATGTCCCCAGCTCTTCCCTCTAAGGTCCAAGCTTGCTTCCAACCATTCCAGTGTATTTATTATCTTTTTTTTCTGAGGTGTGACTCAGAAAGCCCAAGGTTGAAGACCCCACCCCATTTTTATTTTTGAAATTTACGTAGGAGACATAGCTGGGACTTTGGAGTGTTATGGTGCAGGAAGCTTGACCTTTGCTGAGCAGTTTGTTGCCGTCTATATTTTTTAAATCTACAAAGTAAATAGGATGGGATAGTGAGCCTGTAGATCTCAGAAGAAGATTCTGGGGGCCAGCATTTTACTTACTCCCGCAATGAGTCTTTTCATGTAGATCAGATGTTTAAAAATGTCGATAAGAAAAGAATATTTGTAGCCCAGGGTTGAACAGTGGGGTCCTCGGTGCTCTCTGAGCTTACTTGTATGATTGTAGAACTGAGCTTGGAGAGTACCAAGCACCCCACTGTTTAAAGATAGCCCTGAAACCAAATCAATTATATTGAAACTCAGGGGCATTAAGGGTGGGCTAAAAAAAAGTCAAATTCCAGGCATTTGTGGTGCAATCAAATCCTCTCCAGGTAGCCAGGGTGATCACCTTGTTTTCAGACCTGCCGTCAGACCTGCCATCCTGCTGCGCCAGTCCTGCTTAACCAGATGCCAGATTGTCATAAAAAATAGTGGGGAGGGAGCTGAGGGGTGGGATAGAAGGGGGAAGGATAGAGGAAAGGAAAATGAAAGTCTATGTGCTGTCCCTTGAGAGCTGTAGGCTTCTCCAAGGTCACCAAATGGAATGCAACACCTCCAGGCCCAGGCAGCTGGGGACCGTTACCAAAATAATTAGTTTAAATACTATTAGATATTCACCGATAACCAGGGCAGGGATGGGACCTAAAGGGGAATGTTAACTATATGCTTTGGGCTCGAAACACCAGACATTGTAACCATTTGGCTCTAGTAAAGTATATTTTCTATGCCCATAGGTCCAAGAGTCTTTCTTTGCTAATGGTCTAAGGGGAAGGGACAGCCCTACCCCTTAGAATGCCCAAGGTTAAATTTAATGATAGCCTTAATGATGATTCTGTAGCCTCCCCTCCAAAGATGGGATATTAGAGAATGCCATGTTTTCACTATGATGTTTACAGTTATTTGTGTGGTTAGGTTGCCAGCTTCAGTTGCACTTTCAGTGATGGTAGCCTTGAGTCTCATCCTTGGTGCAGAAATATAAGGGGAGCAAACAGAAACTTTTAGTTGCCCATCTAACTGGAATTTTGTCTGGATTTGTACAATCCATAACCTAGCAGTTCTATTTTTGTCAGAGCCATTTCAACTACAATAACTGTACTTTCATTTATATAGCAAAAGACACAACAAGCACCATAAGCTTCAGTGTTGAATATGAGCCAGATAAAAAGAAGAAAGAGAAATTGCTGAAAGCCCCAGTGAAAGAGGTGTCTCCCAAGCTAGCCACCATGGAGGTAAAGTTAATTATGATACATTCAGGTCTGAGAATATTTCATATTCATATTGCTTTCATTTGGAAAACTGAAATCCCAGTTTGGAACTCTAGCACAACTGTTTGTGGAATGCAGGACATATGGTATTCAGTGTGAACTGAAACCAGCTCTAATTCTGCACTCCTATAGGAGAAGGCGTGGCAGAACCCAGGGGAGGAGTTAAAAGAGGGATCTGCCTAGAATCACTACGTAGTCACAAGCAGACTAAGTACAATCTCCCTTCAATTTCTTTCACCCTTATCTAACTCCAAACAAGTGCTAACTGTTATTTGAGAAGATTCCCGTGCATAGGTGTTTTAGCAATAAATCAGTTTAGTTGGACCTTCATGTGTGGACCTGATCTTCCATCCCTGATAACCCCTCTGAATAAAATGAGGCACATAAAAAGTGATCTTCTGGATCAAAAAAAGATTTCTGTTATCAAAGCAAGAGTGTACATCTTATTTTGTGTCAATGATTGTTTCAGATTTCTGAACATAGAAGCTGGTTTAACAAAACTGACAGGAAACATCATTAAATTTGCTTTATACAGTGCACTGCTACACTGAAAGGTGTTGGTCTGTTTATTTGATAAATTTATGAATTACAGGTAGTCTTTGAGTTACAGCAGTTCATTTAGTGACCATTCTGAGTTACAACGGCACTGAAGAAAGTGATGTATGGTCGGTTTTCACACTTATGACCATTGCAGCATCCCCATTGTCATGCGAAAAAAATTCAAACTCTTGGCAACTGACTCACATTTCTGACAGTTGCAGTGTCCCAAGGTCATGGGATCACCTTTTGTGACCTTCCGACAAGCAAAGTCAATGGGGAAGCAAGATTCACTTAACAACTGTATTACTGACTTAACAATTGCAGTGATTCACTTAATAACTGTGGCAAGAAAGGTTGTAAAATGGGGCAAAACTCAATTAACAAATGTCTTACTTAGCAACAGAAACTTTGGGCTCAATTGTGGTCGTAAGTCAAGGACTACCTGTAAAGCGTAATTCAGATTCTCAGGGCATATAAGAATATTTATATAAGAAATATAAAAGAAAAAGAGTGATAAAAGCCATGTATTCAAAACAAAATAGCAAAAAAAAATATGGAAAAAAACAGAATGCATGCAAATAAAATATATTAATAGAGAAAAGAAAAAAAAACCTGTCCTTTTTTCCCATAGTAGTTAATTTTGGTCCATTCCCCCCCCCCCCCCCAAGGTCTACGAGGGTGATTTGGAGAGTGAATTCAACAATTTTGAAGACTGGGTAAAAACATTTGAACTCTTTCGAGGCAAAATTACTGAGGAAGATCATACTGATTTTGAAGACAGGATTGTCGGGAAATTTAAGGTATGGTTAAAGACGGGCGAAATATATGTGTGATATGTCAAGGATCAGTGTTTTACAAACGTTCATGTCACTCATTAGGCTGTGTACTGCCTCAATCTTCCGAGTGTGCAAACATAGATGACCTTATCTACATAGATTGACAGTCTATTTTGGGAAAATATTTTTCCCCAAAATCAAGTCAGCTCTGTTCCTCAATTATCTTTGTTGGCTGAGGAATTCTGGGAGTTGAAGTCCACACATCTTGCTGAGTTGCTGAGGTTGAGAAACACTGACTTACTGTATATGTAAATATTGAGAAGTGGACAGAGGGGTATGTTGATAAATAAGCCAAACTACTCAAAATGCTGCAGCAAAACAGAGGTCAAATATTTTGTAGCTCTTCACTGATTGACAAATGAAGATAATTTTCAGAACAAAAGTGGGTAACCTATATAAGTGATTGAATAATTTGGGGAGTGTTAAGGCTGCCATAGATTGCTTACAAAGTAGGTAAGATTAAATAAAATATGCTGAAAACTTTCCAAGTTTTGAGTTTTTAGAGTGGTCTTGATTTTCCTTCCTTCCTTCCTTCCTTCCTTCCTTCCTTCCTTCCTTCCTTCCTTCCTTCCTTCCTTCCTTCCTTCTTCCTTACTTCCTTACTTCCTTCCTCCCTCCCTCCCTTTTCCTATTTGGACTCTAAGTCATCTTAAGCTTACAGTACATTAAGTTTAAGCCATACTATTTTATGAAATACACCATTGTTCTCAACCCTAGCAACTTTAAGATGTGTAGACTTCAATTCCCAGAATTCCCCAGCCAGCATGAGTGACAAACCATTCATCTTAAATTTGCTGAGGTTGAGAAGGACTGAAATATTGCATAGTTGGCACATCTTTTCATATTTCAAAACCATGCTGCTGAATTTTGGCATGTAGCCAGAAAGTATTTTAGATACCCTAAAAATAATATTTAATTGCATATTGCTCTATCATCAACTTATTCATAGTTTCCTAATATGGTGAGTAAAATAAGAGTTGAAGTTGTAATTTTTCTTTTATTTTAGTTAGAATGTCACCAGTTAAGATTTATAGACCTTAATCCAGCTGTCAAATAGTATGTTTTTATTTTGGCAAGTCAACAAAAATACAGCACTGGCCTGTTGTTCTCAGATTGTTAATCTTATAATTGCCAGACTAAGGTAAGCAACCTAACAGCAGATAAACAAATCTGAAAATCTAAACGTTGATTGCAGAGTTGCTTCCACATCTGTTTCATTCCCTTTAATACTAGACTTAAGATAACAATGCTGAGATATCGCCAGAAGTGATTAAAATATTAAATAAGATTTGTCCTTTACAAGAAATGAAAGAAGAGCACCAACATAACATTAAGGGGGAATAATTTAAAAAAATGATTGGGGTTTTTTTTGTCTGCATTTCCTGAGGTTATTTGACATGAGTAATTTAGCCATGTTGTATATATTTACCAAAGGGCTGCTTCTGCATATACAAAACTCCTGAAGATTGTTCCTCAGGTGACGGAGGTTCCCCCAAAATTCTGCAAGGCCTACCCCCAAATCAGTCAGTGAATGTTCTAATCAGAGTATACATTGTGGCGGTAAGTATCCTTTAAACTCCTGTCAAATTCTTCTTTTAAATTAAAAAAGATTCCATGGTCCCAATGCAAGAAAGAACTCCAAAATTATGAAGATGTAAAGACATATAAAGAGCAAATAAGTTGCACATATACAGTACTTATAGGAGGAGTGGCAGACCTTCGGGGTGGAGTTAAAAGAGGGATCAATCTAGAATCCCTATGCTGCCACAACCGAACTAAATTCAACTTCCTTTGAATTCCGCTGATCTTTATCTAACCCAGTGATGGCGGACCTTTTAGAGACCGAGTGCCCAAACCACAACCCCAAAACCCTCTTATCGCAAAGTGCCAGGGCCGCATCAACATTGTAGTGCCCTCAGGGGGGGGCATGGGGCGTGGCCCACTGGGTGAGCATGGCCCACTGGATGGGCATGGCTGTGGGTGTCACGGCAGACTGGGTGGGCGTGGTTGCGGTGGGCATGGCCGCCTCAATGTTGCTCATGGGGGGGACGCCTGTGGCAACCGGGCAGGGTGGGAGATCCAGGGGCCGGGCAGGGTGGGGGATCCAGGGGGTCTCTGGCAGGTGGGGCAATGGGCAGGAGGCCCAGCATAGATTGGGGGGAGGCACGCAATCCTAGCTGGGACTGGGGGGCCATGGCGCCGATGGGGATCCGGCTTTCCATGCTCGGGGGTGGCCTTCGGCTTCTGGGTGTGGGCTTGCTCTATCACCCCTATTCAAGCTTGCCAGCTGGCTGCTTCGCCTCCTTTGTGTTGGGTAGGGCTGCTGCTCCAGGTGACGGCGGCAGCCTAATGGACCTGCGCAAGCTGCTGGCAGAGGCGGCGGTGCGCGTGCCCACAGAGAGGGCTCCGAGTGCCGCCTCTGGCACGCGTGCCATAGGTTCGCCACCACTGATCTAACCCATTGCTGTTAGTTGAGTAGATTTCTGTGCCTAGGCATGATTAGCAATAAATCAGTTTAATTGGACCTTCATGTGTGGATCTGATTTTCTGCACCTGACATGTGCTGGCTGAGAAATTCTGGGAGTTAAAGTTCACCCATCTTAAAATTATCAAGGTTGTGAAATACTGTTTAAGAGTGATGGAGAGATGGTTCAAGAATACCACACCTCTTCTGCCAGCTCTTGCTCAGAACAGATTGCTCAAAACAGAAGCAAGAGCAAATTGAAAACGATCCTCAGCCCCTAGAGAACCAGTAGGAAAACAGAAGCTTCTCTTATAATGGGAAAATATTTGGGAAAGTCAGATTTAATCTCATTTTTATTTTAAATTAGAACATTTTCCTCTTACTCCATGGGGAAACACTGGAAATCTTGTATAAACGGTAGAACTGGGAGGATTTCAGATCTGAAGGAGAAGAACTTAAAAGGATCAGTCAGTCACTCCTGAAACTGCACAACATTTTCTGAGTTTGCACATCTGCCCTTCACAGACCCTGAAAAAAGAGAAATGTGGCTTAACGGGTTTGTTTATGTATTCTACTTGTGTGCTGCCAAATCAATAGAGACATTGTTTGCAGGTGAGGAAGGGCAGGCAGCAGTGTACCTGTTTTGTTGCCCTTGTATGCGCTCAGAGCCCACCTTGGTTCACAGAATCATAGAGTCCTAGGGCTGGAAGGGACCTTGGAGGTCTTCAAGTCCAACCCCTTGTCCAAGGCTTTTCTTTGAAACCATCTTTAATCTACAGAAGAGCATTTATTAAATAATATTTTTCCATTTTTTTTGCAGGCATTTAATCTTAGTCCTGCTGATCCTGATGGTAAATCTGATCCTTATATTGTGCTGAAATTGGGGAAAACAGAAATTAAGGACCGAGACAAATATATTCCAAAGCAACTAAATCCCATTTTTGGGCGGTGAGTTCATTAAATGTGCATAGTGTTTCACGATCAATGAGTTACTTTTGATATTTTTCTTCCCTTGAGTTGCATTTATTAAATATTGAAATGTCACGGTTTGTAAATCTTGGCTCTCAAAACTATGTGTACTGTCTAATCCATAGTTATCTATGGGGAGAGAGGTATAATTGGTAAGATGTTGGATGTGTTATGATACAAGTCTCACCCTTTTGGGTGTACGTGTTAATAGCTGTCTACCTTTGTGATTATTTTGACACAATGGCATAATCACAAATCATTTGAATATCTGTTAAGTCTAAAGTGATATTTTCTTAAGAATACAGTATCTCTTAAGTTTAAAGTCACTCTTCTGTAATTAAAATATTTGTTTTTCCTATGCAGCTTTCTGCATTAGATATATCCTATGCTTACAACACATTGCAGAATTATTAGTCTGATCTAGAGATTACTTTAGTCCTCTAGTAGGTTAGAGCGGCAGCGCCCAACCTGTTGGGCACAGGGGACCATTCCGTGGAAGGCGGCTTTTTCATGGACCGGGGGAGCATGGATTTGCTCGCTGCTTCACTTGCTTATGCAGCCTGGTTCCTGGCAGGTAACAGACTAGTGTTGGTCCACAGCCCAGGGGTTGGAGACCCCTGGGTTGGAGGAAGAGTAAATGCCTGTACAATAACAACAGCAGGACCCATGGTTGCATTTGAATAAGTGCATTCTGATACAAGAAATTAAGTTTAAGTAAGAATTTTGAAAACAGGACACATAGTGACCTAACAAGATGACTTTTACAAATACAATTGAAAGATAAGTTAATTAGAAAAGATGTTATATATGGATGTTATTGTTATCTGTACAAACACAAAAAATGTTTCTATCCAACCTTGTATGTATTGAAAATATTATATTTATCTAATGTTGACAAAGGAGAATACCATTGGAAGAAGGGAAGATCAAGGAAACATACTATTAATTAATATATTGATCATGGAATTATAGAAATTAATTATTATTGGTTGTTTTTTCAAATATATGAACCCAGACAACACGCTGTTTACTAAGCACTAAAGACTGTTATTGCAAAAAACCAATAAAATATATATTTTTAAAAAGTTATTATTATTATTAAATAGTAGTAGTAGTAGTAGTAGTAGTAGTAGTAGTAGTAGTAGTAGTAATAATAATAATAATAATAATAATAATAATAATAATAATAATAATAATAATAATAATAATAATAATAATAATAATAATAAAGTTGGAAGGGACCTTGGAGGTCATCGAGTCCAACCTCCTGCTCAGGCAGGAACCCTACACCATTTCGGACAAATGGCTGTCCAGTTTCTTCTTAAAAACTTCCAGTGTTGGCGCATTCACCGCTTCTGGAGGCAGGTTGTTCCACTGGTTAATTGTTCTAACTGTCAGGAGGTTTCTCCTTAGTTCTAAGTTGCTTCTCTCCTTGATCAGTTTCCATCCGTTGCTTCTTGTCCTGCCTTCAGGCGCTTCGTAATCTTTTTCAAATTTGTAAAGTTTAATTTAGAGGCTGAAAGGTAATAATTCTCCAGGAAGAATGTGACCCCACTTGAATAAATTCCAAACAACCTTGATTAATAAGAGCCAGTCCTCACAATAAATGTTTACATTAACAAACACTTTGGAAAAGAGAGCCCAGAGAAGGAAAATGGATGTTATGAGACCATATTCAAAGCCAGCATTGTAAATATTGTCACTAAGCTTCCAAACAATGTTCTTTGGTCTTTGTAGTCTTTGCCAACCTGGTAGTCATCAAAGTGAGTGGGATTGTATTCCCCTGAATTCCCTAGTCACAGATTCTTCCCAAGAAGGTTCAGTTCTGGGTGCAGGATATGGGCATTTCCACAAACATACAAATTCCCTTTATTTAAAGTGTAGACTTCTGCATAGTATTAAGCTGTCGCGTGTATAGTCAACCTCAGCAGGTAAAAGCACCTGGCTAAGGTGGTCTAGATTTGGTACAGGAATCAGGCCAGATCTTTGGATGGAAGACTGCTGGGAGATCCCAAGGCTGTAGCCTAGACTGGGAAGTAAAAAAAAAATCCCAAAGGAAGATACTATCATCATTATGCACGTGTCCATAAAGATAACTCAGAGATTTTATTGCTGTCTGTGCTAAAAACAGAGATGTTTATAATTACTTTGCCAACTGGTGTGACTAAGCTTGAAGAGTTCCACCTGTTAATTTTCATCTCCTTACCTTGCTTAATTTGTTGCTAAATTTTCTGCAGCCTCATTAAACCTTGGAAGAGAGAAAGTTGAGAGAACAAAGGGCATTAAACCACACTGAAGAATTAACCCTTCTAACTTCTTTCTTATATTTTCCTTGAATGCTACTATCTGGTTTTTTTTTATGTTGTTGATTAATTATCATTTTGTGGCGATACCAGCTAGGCCTTTTCAAGAAAAGTTGAACTAACGTAAATCAAGCCCATTATAAATGGAAACTTTGAATGCAATTTTTTTTTCTTCATCTTTTCTAGAGGCTGGTTTCCAGTGCATTCTTCCCATCTGAATGTCCATCACCCTCCATTAAAACAAACTTTTTTTCCCCTCTCTGTAGGATAACTTGGGAAAACCACACCTAATATAATGGATGTACACTGTTAGTGTCAACACTGCTAACATTGGATGTTCTTGCTTTGACAATATATGAAGATGCCGCCGTTTTCTCTTTAACCTGTGCATTACTTTTAGAGTTAGAATTAGATGGTGCTGGAGGGGAGGGGGAAGAATGTGTATGGGGATTAGTTAGACATAACAATATCTCAGTAGAGTATTCTTCAAGGTTGTTTGAAATAAGAGAAGATAAGAAATGGCGGGTTATGGAACTGGAGGGCAAGTTCAGACTTCAAACTAATTGGAGAATGTGATTAATGACCATAAATTGGAGGAGGGAAAGATGCTTCGATACTATATGTTTATGGGAAGAGAATTCAGATTTTGGCTTCGCCTATGTATGTGCCAAAGCTATGTTGCTCAATTAAAGATTCTTTAAGGTAAACAATGCCTCAAAGTTCTTTGAAGAGTTTCATCTTTCGGAACCATTACAGTTAGCTAATGTGGTAACTTCACCTCCACTCTACATCACTAACAACCTGTCTTGCTTTTAGTGAGTCTTATTCTTAAGTATGCTTAGGATTGTAGTCCAATCATTATTGAATTTGGCATTATTTTTTTAATCTTTTTGCATTAGGTCATTTGAAATTCAGGCAACTTTCCCTAAAGAATCCTTGCTTTCGGTCCTGATCTATGACCATGATTTGATTGGTTCAGATGACCTCATTGGAGAAACTAAAATTGATCTAGAAAACCGTTTCTACAGCAGACACAGAGCTACTTGTGGATTACAAAGCCAATATGAAATGTAAGGTCCCTCCAGGACATTCAGTCTATAAGTAACTGATGGATATGGAAATTATGCAGTTCAAAAACTTCTAGAGGAAACTAGAGGTTGCTGAGGGTGTAAATGTTTATGAAGGTTTTGTACAGTATGGCAAAGCTAATTTTGACACACTTTTGTTGCAAAAGTCTTCATCCTGGTTCATCCAAGCTGGGAATAAACATGGCAACTGCTTTGGGAAGAAAGTTGTAGTTAATTGGAGAGGAGAGCCAGACAGGAAGATGGTTCTGGCAGCAAGAGAAGTGAAAAAAGGACTGAGCACATGTAGGAAGTGGGTTTTTATACTCTCTGGAGCCTTTTGTTTGGTTATTTCCTGTTCCTGTTTTGAGACTATTTCCTGTGTCATGTATTCTGACCTTGAGTTTGGATGTGCCCTTTGGCCTTTGTGAGTTAATCCTACCATGTCCTGTCTCAGGTGGGGTATGCAGATTTTAGGTCTTTGTCTTCCTAATCTCCTAGCTCCAACTTTCCTGATGGTTTACATCTGCATTTGTACAGAGCTGGTTTCTGCTTGGGGGAGGCAGACTTGGGGCTATTAAGAAAAACTGGGTATGCTTTTCTGTCTCTTTAAGATCCTTTGAGGAAATATATTTTTCTGCCCTTTTAATATTTCCTTCTTTGGAGGGCTGACTTCCCACACTTTGAAATGAGCTTCTTTCTCACCTTCTTCTCTCTCTAAAATTCTCTCCTCTCCTTGAATTTTTAGTGAAGGATACAATGCTTGGAGAGACGCACTCAAACCAACTGAAATCTTGAGCAAGTTATGCAAAGATAACAAACTGAATGGGCCAATCATGCAACCTGGAATGATACAAATAGGGA